ATTTGGATCTAATGGATTATAATTGGGGTGGGGTTATTGTCACATCATAATTAATTAATATTATATTTTTTAATATAATTATTTATTATATATTTACATCATATTTTTTTTTCAAAAAGTTATATTTTTTTGTTTTTTAATAAATTAAAAAAATAATTAATTAAATTTAAAAAATATGATATTAATAATTGAGGATGAGTAAATAATATCACTCATATCACGGACCACCAACGATAGCAGAGCAGCTTACTTGGGTCCAGTCTATCAGGAAAAATATGGGCCTAGGAGCTAGCTTTCACATTTTGGGATCACGTCTTTTGGGGCTAGGCTTATTGTTAGATTGTGGACCTGTCTTCACGGTCCACAAACCCAGAAAAATAAAAACAAAATAAGTGGTTAATTTAATAAATTGTGAATTAATTATTGACCTTTTTTTTCATTAAGAATCTTTATTTTCTTCTAAAATTGTCTTTTAACTTTTAAATTTATTTCAATTTTGTCTTATCCAATACGATTTTGCTAATTAAACTAATAAAATTTCATATTTTTTATTGTGTAGTACCACATAAGTCGATATGTGACTTGAAAATGAGAGGAAAAATTTCACTGTTTCTTGAGAGTTAAATCTTAAAATAAAAAATTACTTTATATGGTAGAAAATTTTGAAACAAATTGCTTTGATGGGTGGAAATTTTGGAAACTAATTTGCCTCTCTTTTTATGCCATATGGTTGCTAAATATGATAGTTTATGTGGCGCCACACAATTAAATATGTGAAATTTCATTACCAAAACTAATAGAATTGTGTTAGATTAGATTAAATTAAAAATAAATTTTAAAATTAATAGATGATTTTAAAAATAAAAATAAAAATTATAATCTAAAACAAAAAAAAAAACCAATAATTAATACACGATTTATTAAATTAAGCCAATAAATAAAGAAGACTGAGAATTAAAGTTGGAGACTCCTGTCATGTTCATAATTTTATGTTTTAATTAATTAAGCATGCATTTTTTTTCTTTGATGTTCTAACTAAGCATCCGTATATATTATTTTTTATTCAAAATGTATCACAAGGTAGACTAAAAAACAAATTACTTATATGTGTAAAGCAATCCCGTGAATGACATCTATTTTTATGTAGGATAGCCCATGGTTTGGTAACATCGTTTGGTAAGGACGGCCATAGCTTGTCTTTCCACCAAAAGAAGAGGTGCCGGTATTCGGAAGAAAGAAAGATCCCTTTTTCTTGAGTCAAATCATTTTGTCGCCAGTAATAATTTTGGGAACTTGAAAAGGTTTTCTAATTTGAATAGAATTCTCTCTAATATGCTATACTTTGCGACTTTTCAGAAATGAATATGATAACTTAAGCTTTTTAAGTTTAAAGTTGTGATTCGTGAACATAATAAACTTGTATGTGTATTCCAAACACACTTGTCTCCCAACAAAAAAAATTAATGGCTGTCAATCTGCATCAACTTTCAAACTCATTACTCAACAGCCTTTCACTAATCACTACAATGCCGACCTGAAAAAAATATATAGCCCCTCACAACAAAGTGCAAACAGCCAACAGACCATGTACACTTTGCTGGATTAATCAATCATAAAATGATTTCCACAAGGTGTGAATGAAAGGAAAATTAACAAATCATGACAGTTCTTTGGATAGATTTTTTCTAAAGTTGAAATGCAGATATCTCCCATTTGAATGTCAGGTGAAGCCAATTAAGGTAGGTCCTTGCTGTACAAAAATTGAAAAAAAAATATATTAAGGTAGGTCCTGGGGGTACCCGTGACACCCCCCCCCCAAAGTCCTACCTCCTAAGCAAACTTCCATTCACACAAATCATAATAGACCAAAATTAATGGATGTCACAACTCACCAGAAACTACAGGAAACTAAGTTTCGTTTTCATAAACAACTTTAATTATTTCATTTTTTGTCAGTGTTTTAAAGGATTACAGCAGAAGAATCCACACAAAACAACCTGTCAGGTGTAATGATCTTGAATGTTTCTCATTCATCATTAATTGATGATATTCTGGAGAGGATTTCAAAACTTAGAAAAGAAGCTGAACGAATTGAGTATTGTTAAAGTTGGAATTTTGTCAATCAAGAACATGAAGGTGCGACATCCAAGATAATGATTTTATTCTGCATCCTTTTTTGTCTGAGTACAAAGGCCCAAAAATGGAATATGATTGGAATGAAAATCTGTGAAAAAGATGTAAATACTACCTTGTTTTGGAACTTAAAAGAGATGACAAGTAATACAGTTGTGGTCTATATACAAAATATATGCGTTCTAAATGCTGTCGATGGATGAGTTCCTATCTGAACCATCGATCTCAAGTCTGAACTACTTCAAATTATCTGACATCAATAATACTTCAAGTTCTGCTTGCTTTCCTTTTGTCATGTAAGGGTGAGTACCCCTTGTGCACTTTTATGATACAAAATTTGATTCATTGAAAAAATAGGACATCAAGTTCTAACAACGCTAGACAGAATTTTTTCATTTTTCGTTTTGGGAGAGGCGAAGAGTAAGATTTTCATCGAGTTTAGTTTTAGGAGTATAAAGGTATTTCAACCTGTACATTATTATTATTATTATTATTATTTTATATTTATTGTAAAATTGTCTTTAAATTAATTTTTGTATATTAGAAATTATTCTTTCATGGATGATTTTAAAGGTGCCTCCCTCGTATTGACATAATACATAAGAATTTAAATTTTTTTGTGTTGAATCTAAAACTTAAACTATAGACCTAACCAATAAAATAATATATATTTTTTAATAAATTCAACCCTTACATAATGTCATGCTATAAAGCCAACTATAATATGATCACATGTGAACACCCCCCACTAAGCTTGTTCCCGATTTGTGGGAAATATAGGCAATATAATAAAAAAATATATGGTTTAAATAGAAGTAAGACTACTTCATTTATAACCAATTAAGTTTAGATTGAATATAAGTTCACATGTTTAATTTTTACATAATATCATAGTACATATTAAAATTTTTAGTTAAAAACTTGTTGTTAACTCATCTAACAAAACTTGAAATTCACATCGAGCATGCATATAAAGTGGCATAGCTAGGTTTGCACACAAGGGAGTAGGAAAATACCACATTAAAGATATAATAAAAAAACTAATTGACTTTAAATTAAATGTAAGTCTTACATTGAAACATACGTGCCTAATTTTTACTGCTCCTAGCACTGTATGCATAAATCAACATTGTACTCTACGGTCTACTTTTATTTCACGCTGCTAACTTTGTAGGTATAGCAATATAATATAGCAACTTGCAAATCAAATCCACACATCACAACCATCCAAAAGATTACCCTAAATCCTTTGCTTTCCCAGCTAAATTTTCAAAAGTTACATATGGATATTTATCTTATCTTTTTATAATTAATTTATTTATTTTCTGTTAATATCAAACGCAACCGACTCTGTCCCCCACTTGAACCCCTATAAAGCCCACCCTTCTATCCAAACCTCTCCATCCTCAACTATAAGCTTCTTTATACCGGCTAGCAGCTTCAGTGTCACTGCTACCAGTAGTATAACCAAGAAGCTTTTAGACTGTGAGATGGCTTCAAAACGCTCTGCATCACTTGCTCTCCTTCTGGCCGTTAATCTCCTCTGCTTTTCCCTTGTTAGTGCTTGTGGCTCTTGCGGCAATTGTGGCTCTTGCCGTAACCCTACCCCAAATCCAACCCCTCAGGGCACTTGTCCTAGAGATGCCCTTAAGTTAGGTGTTTGTGCAGATTTGCTTGGCTCTTTGCTTAACATCACCATAGGGTCCCCTCCCAAAACTCCATGCTGCTCCCTTATCCAAGGCCTTGCCGATCTTGAAGCAGCCGTTTGCCTTTGCACTGCCATTAAGGCCAACATCTTAGGGATTAACCTTAATATCCCGCTCTCCCTTTCCTTGCTTCTCAATGTCTGTTCAAAGCAGGTTCCCTCCGGCTTCCAATGTGCGTAATCACGTACGTGCTGCATTTTTTTTCCCCATTCACTTGTGTGTCATTTGGAAGTGTGATTGATTTCAAGTCTTCTGGATTATGATCAGTGTGTTTATTAATGCAAGTTTGTGGGTGACAACTTTGTTTCCCTTGTAGTGTTTTCGCCGTAGCATTGATACTGAATGAATAAGCATTGTAAGACTTGTGCTTTTCCTTTCGTAAGTGATTCTTGTATTATGTATGTTTATGCAAAATATGAAAGAATGTATGGCTTTTCATGACTATGCATCAACCTTCAAAAAAACTAATCAACTATATGAAGATTAACATTAATCTCAAAATACATATAAATCAGTTTTAAGATGCACTAAACATTTAAAAAAATCAGTCAATTCCACACGAAATTTACTTCATACATTTTCTTTTCTTTTTGTATCCAATATGTAAGAGGTGAAATTTTATTAAAATTTAAGAAGGTGGACAATTATTTGGTTGATAAAAAATTATAAATTCATTTGATTGCTTTAGGTCTAATTAATATATATATGATGACCAAGATATTTTTCTGATAAGAGTGTGAGGAAATGGCCCATGAAATGCGGTATTCATGGTGGAAGAAGCAGAACACGTCACTATCATCCTTCTATATGGGCGATGTCGTTTATTCCTTGTAGTAGAAATGTTGCAGTCAGGCTTTGGTTTAGGCCAGCATCCATGGCCCCCATGCTTTATATTCCATAAAGTCAATTCAACAGTATAGTCCGTGACTGAGAGAATTTTCGGCAAGAACATGAACTTCATCACATGGGAAACAACTCATTTCATTAATGACTAAATTTAATTTTTTTAGTCCATTAACTTTTGCTTTAGCATCACTTGAATTTAGAAAGTTTATTTTCTTCTTCTTCTTCTTTTAATCTTGACTTGCATAATAGAAAGTAACTATTATACCCTAAATCAAGTCTTATGAGAATTAAAACATATTAAAACATCCTAAAAGAGTTTTCTATCAAAATTAAATACGCTAATTCCGACTAGAACTAGAATATCCAATATCAACTCAACTGGAATTGTAATCTTAGAATGATTTTATGTAATATCTTATAAATACCCCAATGCTAAACTTAGGAAGAGGATGATTTATCTTCATTAATTCTCTCTCCATTGTAAGCTTTCTCTAATCTCTATTCTTCATCAATAAAGTATTCAGTTTCACACAATCTCTTCTATTTTTTAGTGTTAACAGTAATCCTCTTTCATATCCCTAGCTTATAATATACTCCATCTCCATATCATATGATTTGAATTCAAAATCTCTATTTTTATTGAAAGAAGATTATCACTAAACTATTTAAATTGTTGTCAATTAATTTCTCTCTTTATATTGACATATTAAAATGGTCTATCTATAAGTCAATGTCCTAGTTAGTTTCCCATACAGAGTTCCATGTTAATAACAACAAGATACCATATATGAACCTTGGTTTTAAGAAAATTACATTTTAATCCATAGTTAACCTTAAATGCTTTGCTTTTGTAACGTTCTTATCATCTCAAGAAATTGATAATGTCTTTTTCAATCTTTTTATGATTATATGTGAAGATTGAAAACTTATAAATTCAAAAATAAACTAGCTGGCTAGTCTTTAGATTCAATATGACGTCTAAGCACCTCAGAATAATCCCTAGCCAAGAGAATGGATAGAATGTTTGGAGTATTGAATTGAGAATATTGTGATAGCTTAAGATAGCTGGTGGTAAATTTAGAATTCAATTCAAAACGAGAATTCAAGAGGGGGATCTATCAGAATGCATGCTATAATTGGCCTACCAAGAAGCAAAATTTTTATGAGTGTCCATATACAGTATTGATCTCTGATTATTGCTTTTCATAAATAACTGTTGGAGAAATTAAAAGTAATGATAATGAAATGGAATTTTAATATAGATTGTGTTTACCTAATTAACTCTTATTAGAACCCTGAAATTAAAAGGGAAAACAAAACGAAGAAGAGAAATAGAATGCTGAATAACTGGTCATGAACTAGAGGAACTAAAGTTGCTTTGACAGCAGAGCACCCTTATCCTGTTTGAATTAAAACGAAAAATAAGTAAAAAAAAAAAAAGTGTTACTTTTTTGTTATATATAAGGAATGATATGTATATAAATTTGATCATAAATTAAATTGCATGTAAATAATAACAAATAAAAAATAAGAAAAGAACATTTGAGAGATGGACAGGAATTATATCCCTTTGTCGTTAAGGGGGGCCAATGTGTGATCTGATCATGGAATGAGACACAGCTAGGGCCGGTGATCAGCATCTCCAACTCAACTAGTCTTGGATTAATTCAATTTATTCAAAATCTCAAAGATTATGTTTTTTTATTTTTTTAGCATAACTTTTCAATTTAAAAGTAAGAACTCTCTCAATTATTACTTACAGATTATTTACTTTTAGATTTTATCATTTCAAAAACCATGCATGTGCGAATGGCCTATTCTGGTCCAATAACATTGGATCTTGAATTAAGGTTGTTTATCTTCTATGAGTTGCACGTTCGAATCTCATAAAAACCCTTTTCCATCATCTCCTAATTAACCTGTAAATAATTGCAATATATTCAAAAAAAAAAAAAAAAAAAAAAAACCCTTGCATGTGTAACAAATTTTTTTTAACCCTAGATACTTTTCTCATCTAGAAATTCGAATTTGGTACACTTTACAACCTCAGTATGTCCTCAAACCATTATATAGCTTGGTTGCAATTTTACACATAAAAAAAGATATACATGTAATAATACATGGTACAAAATTAGTGGAGCAATATCATTGAAATAAAGCTTTATTATAATTTGATACTAACAATAGGAGTCAAATTCCTAACACACAAAAATAATTAAACAAAGACTTAATACAAATAACAACATGGAAAAAGCCACGTCGAATGCAACTCCATTCTTTGTTATTTGCTTTTGGTAATTAAGATTTATAAGGTTGAGGAACATGGGAAACCGATAGGTGCAGGCAACCTTATTTATGATGAAAATACACTTACAATTAGGAGGGCAAACAAAATTAACCAGTCCCTGAGGACTTGTTCTTCCACAAGTTATAATCAAAGATTGATGAAGAGTGATTCGAGAGGAATGAATAATGTTAAGGTTAAGAAGCTTGAGCCTCATAGCTAGTATAGTGCAAACTGCAAAGAGTCAAAGACAAACCGCTGCTTTTTCAAGCTTCAGCAGACCTTGCAAGTAAGTCCACACAAAGCCTAACTGTATTGCATTATTGGACAATTGGATGAGTTGTCGAAGGAGCTGGACCGCCACCGCCACCACCAAGTGGACGATTCGGGGACGGTGGGTAAGGAGAAGAGGGTGTGGCCGGAGTATAACCGGAGGGTTGATGCAATGGGAGGTGACATCAGAGAGTGTTTGCTATAATAGGAGGTGAAATGTCGGTGAATTGCAAAAGTCGATGTTCTATCCGTGACTTTTGGCCCACTACTTGAATCCGTGAATTCTTCAGTTTCACAGATTCCCACGACGTCTTGTTTTGTTTGTTATTATTCTCTATATATTTTTTTTACAAAACTCTACATTAAGCCTCCAAACTCATCATAAATTCTCAATTAAACTCTTAAACTTTTAAACTTTTATTGAAACAAATAATTATCTAAACTTGATAATGTTGGCAATCTAACTTTTTTTCTTTATGATAGATTGAATGCCCATTTGTGTTTCATTTATATGAATAAAATATTAACATATCATTGCATACGTAACAGATATTGACCTTGTCTATACTTATAAGACACATACAAATATTAAGTCTACTATAAGAAAAACAATTAACTTATCCAAATCGTCAAGTTCAAAAATTTATTTACTTCAATAAAAGTTAATGAGTTTAACTGAGAATTTAAGATAAGTTTAGGAGTTTAATTTAAGATTTGGCCCCTTTTTTTATCTGTTCTTCTTTTTATTATACTCATAAGTTGTGGGGTTTCTTCCCTTGAGAAAAAAAAAAAAATCTTAAATTTCAATGTTATATTATGAAAGATAACTCCTCCCATTTGAATAAAATTACTATTAAATCGTTGTTGACTCTTTCTTTGAGAAATTAAACAACATACTTTGCATGATTCTGCGATGGACGGCTGAATTGATGACAGCCAAAATAAGCACCAGGCGAGGCCTCATACACATTGGACACATCCTCCTTGTGAGGTGAGGTACTTTGTAAAAAAAATTGGACCACGCCTTACAATTAAAAGAAACAATTGTACAGAGAGAGAATGTACTGTTTCTAAAGAAAGAAAAAGTACCCGAATGGTCCACGTTTAGGGTCGAAAAGCTGTGGATGAAATTCTCTAGAGTTTCTTCATAAATATCCTCCAGTTTATATATAAGATCATACTGAGAAAATGTAAAATGGCAAAACTGATAGTAATAAAAAAATAATAATAATTCCTCATATTTAGTTAAGACCTTTTGAAAGCTCAGTTTCAGTTCCAATTCCCAAGGCACTAAAAGAATTGATGAGAGGTTACTTTCAGCAAGTTTGAAGAAAGGGACATTTCTATAATTTCGAATGTTTGATTTTGATTTGAAGCTGCACTGGCTCTGGCTTGGAGTTAGATGGTGAAGGTGGCCCAGATTGTGCAACATTAATATTGTGTATCAGGTTCGAAAGCCTTAGAAAGTGTAAAGAATAAATTTGAGAAAGATTATAAATTATTATCTTTTGTTGCATAGTTTATCATCAAATATACGAAAAAAAGAAGTTCTTTAATTAATCTACCAGCTTACTAGTTTCTTAAACCTTTTAATTTGCACCTAGTTTGGTTAATTAATAATTTAAGAAAACAAAATGCGCTTCTTAATCTTCAAAAAGGATTACAAGAAAGCTGATTAGAAGTTTTCCTTACATCCAAAGAATACAAATCCCAACACCAAACACACCATGAAAAGGAGAAGACGAACACAAAGAAAATTGATAAGACATTATAATTATATAATTAGACGAGATTAAGATATATTCATTTGCACTGGAAACCAGAGGGGACGTTTTTTCCGCAGTAGTTGAGCAGCAAACTCAGTGAAACGGGAACGTTCAGGATAATGCCCAAGACATTGACCTTAATGGCTGTGCAGAGACAAACGGCGGCTTCAAGGTCAGCCAAACCCGAAATGAGGCTGCAGCATGGGGTGTTTGCTGGGGTTCCCACAACAAGGTGCACCAAATCATTCAGCAGGTCAGCACAAACACCCAACTTTAGGGTATCCTTAGGGCAAGTGGCTTTCTTATGGTGGTGATTGTGATGGTTAGGGCTCTTAGGCGGTGGAGGGCATGCCACATTGGTGGAGCTGACCAAAGTGAAGAAGAAGAGGTTGAGGGAGAGAAGAAGGGCGGTTGATGCTACAGCCTTTGAAGCCATGTTCAAGACACCAAGTGAACAAGCTTGAAATTTGAGTGAGGAAGAAGTTAGTAGACTTAGGGGTTTATAGATGAAGATTGCTATGGAATTGGAACAAGAGGCCCATGACCATGTGGGCGCCCTGCATTGGCGTACCAGAGACAGCCTGGAAATGGTAGATCATAATCATAAGAAGCAAATGAAGTTTGGAGTTTTTCTATCATGCTTTAACTTTTATTATTTACAAAAGATCTGCCATTGGCCCGTTGCTACGTAATTGCCACCCAAAGGATTCTTATTATTTACAAAGTCCGGTGTGTGTGCATTAATTAGATTTCAGAAGGATCTAAGGGTTTCTAGACATAAATAGATAGTTCCCATTTGGCGTTTATGTTTCCTTGTTTTGTTGAGGTGAAAATGAAAGAAAGCATCATGATAAATTAACGGTGAATTCGCAGTTGCAGGGATTGGACGAATGTGGAGAGGTAGGTTTTAACAAGGCAGTGGCGCACATGGAGAGACAAAGGACAAGAGTCCAAACTTTATAGTGATGGTTCAGCGGATCTGACTCCTCAGAAGAGTTTTTAGATTTTGGTGCATCCTTCCAAATTAGTAATTACCACATGGAAAGTAAGTAAGAGATTTGTCTATAAAAGGAAGACGAATAGCGGAAAAGCGTTGTTAAGGGGTGAATGACGTGAGACCACAGGCCTTGAGTCGGTAAATAGTGAATAGTGAATATTTTGTTTCTTCTTTCTCTCTTGCTCTTGCTACTAGTAATAATGGGAAGAGATCACTTTTTTGTAATATGACACAGAGGAAAGCCTCACATTCAGGGTCACTCATCATCAATGATTATAATTGTGCAGTCTGCATCAGATTGAATTGCGCAACACCCCTGGCCTGCTTCAATGCCCCCAGTAATAAATTAGATAGCTACCGAGGGGTAGGTTTCCGTTTTCTGACCGGAAAGGAAGTGGGGTTGGAAAGAACTCCATGACCATATTCTACAAAATAACACTGATATATCATGGTTTGGGGCCACCCCCACTTTCCTGTATGGAACATGTTACTGTCCAATGTTACTTAAAACTCTATCCTACGAGCCAAGCAACAGCTCAGCAACAATCTGAGTCATATTTAGAACCTGTTTGGTGGGACTTTTTTGAAGTTTTTACTTTTTTTAGTATTGTTTATAAGTCATAAATTTAAATTTTTATTAGAGAAAAAATTTAAAAATTACCTTTAGAAATAATAAAAAGCGAATAAGAAATGAGTAAAAATAAAATTTATAAAAAATTTAAATTTAAAACTTTTCAAAATTCACTGTTTAAGATCTTTTTAAGGTAAAAAAATTAAAAAATATATGTTTTTAAGAAAAAATTTAAACTTATAAAACATAAATAGTATCAAAAAACTGAAGCACTTATAAGTTTTACCAAACATGCTCTTAGACATATTAGTGCTAGCAACACCCATTATAATTCAGCTAAACTGCTCCTTGACAAGTTACTTTTCAATATTTTACAACGATATTAATGAATGATTGATTACACTAGTGCTTAATGATTCATCTAATAATAAATGATTGATTACACTAGTGCTCTATGACTCATCTAATAATGAATGATTGATTACTGTTATCTTCAAAATCTCACTTTCTGGCCGCGTAATAGATAAGACTGCGAAGACGTGTCACTCATGCTAGTGAAAAAGAGGGATTCTTAGTGACTTTCACTACTTCCAAGCATGGAACTTAGTTGTGAGTCGATGGAAGAGCACCAGTTAAATAAATTATAAGATGCGTCAGGGACTTCTCACAACTAGGGTCAAAATGTTAGTTTGTTGATCAAAATAAAAGAGAAAAATAAAGGAAAAGAAAAGAAAAGAAAAAAAGTGCATGGTGAGAAAACTAAATTGTAAAGTGGAAACATAATGTCATCACGAAAGTATGAAAACGTAGAAAATGAAATAAAAACTGAAGTATAAAACTAAACTTAAAAGAAGTTAGGAAGATGAATTTTGGGGTAAAATGTAACAAATTGAATTGCAAAAAACTAAATACATCAAGCGAAGATATTCACAATGAAATAACAAAAACTAGAGCTAAAACTAATGGCAGTGTAAAGCTAAAAACTTAACTAGGAAAGCTATTTAAGAAAGTTGGATCTAAACTAAAACATTGCTTGTAAAATTAAAATGTAGACAGTACTAGGCTAGTTGTGCAAGAGATTGGTCATTTACTTCGTTTCTTCTCTACATACTTATAACAATAAACATCCCTTGGCAACATGCTTGGAGACTTGTGACAACAATCTTAAAAAACCAACGACAACATGATATCTGAAAGAAATTGGTTAATTTGTTGATACTACCGATTATCCTCCTAGAAGTTCACATCAAGCAAACGACTTCGTGGTAGTTTTGGAAATAACCACTCAACTTTATCTAGAGAGATTTACTCCAACTACTTTCAACCAATGAAATTCTTGCCAACATGGATGACACGTGGCACCATTTTATTTTATTTTTTGCAAAAATGAGTGTAAACAATTACACTAGTGCTTCATGATTCATCTAAGTAGATAAGAGCTTGAAATCATATTCCCTTGAACTCAAACAATATATGGTACATCAACAACATGATAATGGCAAAATGCAATAACCAGATTCAAGACAGCATAGGAGGGTGCATCTTGTCACGTGACATTCAATGTGTTTTAAACCAAAGAAGCATAGTGGGCCATTTGTTTGAAGATGACGGGTTCAAAAACATGGCAACATGATCTTATTTGAAACTGTTTCTGGGTTTCAAAAGGATAAGAAATAAACAAAGAGGACAAAGAGAATTACAATAGCTCTCGCACATTGATCAACCTATGGTTCTCCACCAAGCTCCACACGCAGGTTGTCATATGGATAAACTTTGGGCGTCTAGTAGACAAAAAAAAAATGAAACACAATCACTCAGCATGAGAAGTATCAAACAAGTTACAGAATCAATCCAAAAAAATAAAAAACCCACAGGTGGATCAAGTGTACTAAAGTTAATTGTGCAATTCTTTTTTATTTGGCCAATAAACTGTGCAATTTGATACTGGTTTCCTAAGTTCTGCTGGCTAGATCAGAGTTAACATGTTTTGAAGTGCTTGCCTCAGAGACCTTATCTTTTATCAGCACTAACTAGTCTCCCTGCAAATTGAGGTATCTAGCACAAGTCATATGGTCAAGCTAAAGTGCTCTTTCAAGTTTCATCCCTCCCACACCACTATGAAGTCATATGGATGAAAGGGAACCAAGCCCAGGTCATACATCTTGTGAGGGCATCATGCACCCACTGACTGATGGCCCCACTTCTTGTGACATCAACGAGTCATTCGATTAGGGTATCATAATTGTCAAATTGAATAACAACAGAACTTTGTCTCTTGAATAGAGCAGCAGCGTTTAGTTAAAGATAGCATAACCCTCTGCTAGGGAAAGTATGGAGATGGTTTTACGCCCCATTAGAAAACAGTGAAGTATTGAAGAACCAATACCATGCTTTCAAAAACCAATTATGAAAATGGTCAGTAATTTTAATGCCGTAAATGTTGGAAGTATTTTATAACAGGCTGTAGGGGAGATGGATCAATTAAAAACTGCAGAAGAATAAAAAATATTTTCATATTAGGTTCTCCAAATCATCATATGGATAATATCCCAACACGTTATGATTTATGAAACTGTAATGAACATGCTAATATGTCTATATAAGCAAAATGATGCAGTTAAAAGGAATTTCAAACCTAAACTAGGACTATTTAGTTTTAGTTGTTTCCTACCTAGTGTTATGAGTCATTTGATTTGATTTGATTTGTGGATGGCATTCAAATCATTAGCAGGTGATTAGAGTAATGACATGGAACTAAATTTATTCACAAAACAATTTATTCCCTTTGTTGTTGAAAGATGAACATATCCACACTTATAGGATAAAACATATCAAAAAGACAATAATAATCATAACAAAAATTCAATAAAACTAACAAAGCTTATTAGTCAGCAAAGGCAAATAACACCTGATTAAAGCTTCAAATTAGAGCTTTAGACTTACAAATGGAATTTTGGAGGCTTTATCATTCCACACAGCCACTAATCCCAGGGATGCAAAGAAGCTTAAACCCCCACACATCCAAGCCAACGCCTCATACTAAAAGATTAAAAGTACAAAACCTCAATTTCCACAAATGAGCACAAATTCCATGAGCATAATTAAAAAATGGAGCTCGAATTCGAAGAAATTTTTACCTTACCAACGGTATCGGCGATTCGATCTATGCAGGGTTCCGGAAATGGAGTCCCGTTATCCCAAACTAGCTCGTCGTTCACCGGAAGCTGAGTCAGAGGAAATTAAAATAATATGAATGTTTCTAGGGATTCAATCTAGAAATCAATTCTAGAAATTATGGAGTGGTTGAACTTACGGGCTTATCGGGGACGATGTGTTTTCCGACGGGTAGCCCCATGCCGGAGCGGAGGCGAAGGGAGGAGCCAACGGAGCGAGAAACAACTCCATTTCCTCCCATGATCCGTGACGCCACGTTGCTCAGTCTTCCAGCCATTTTTCCGGTTCTCCTTCTTTTCTCGCACTTTCTCCCAAACCAAACAGTGATTTTCTCTCTCTGCTGTCAAACAACCTTCTTCGACTATTTCCTTCTAGCCATTGTGAATCTAGGGGAAAACGGTGTCGTACCTTTGGTTCTTTGATAAAAATTGTCAGCCCAGCCCAATAACCAAAGGCTACAATGGACTGGATCTGGGCTCAAGTTGAGCCGCGGCTCAACTTGGGTCAAATATAAAAATTTGATCTCCGAAACAACGGAAATTTTCCCAACGGTCAGAAAATGCTTCTCTCTCTCTCTCTCTGTGTAACGTTCGACGATCAAAAACAACCTCCATTCTCATGGTCCGATCTCTTCGAAGTCTCAATCTTTTCTCTCCCTGAAGCGACCTGAATATGGTGGGTTTTTCGATTCATGGTTGGAGAATTAAGGGTCTCGTCAACCTTTCGTGATTGGTACTCGAATTATGGTATTTGATTTCATTTGGGTATTTAATTATTTATCCATGAAAAGTTTTGATTCGGTATTTGGGGATTTGATTCTTTTGAAGAAAGTTATATGCTTTTTCTGCTTTCTCCACTGGTCTTGGATTCTTCGATGGAGCGTAGATGGGCAAATGTTTGGGTTTAGTCACGTAATAAATTGGAGAAATTTTGATTGGCAATCGATGGTGGAATGCGTTTTTATGTTGATTTTTATATGTTTGACATGAACTTTTGAAGTAGTTTTGTTGCTAACTTGCTTTGAATCCATGGAATTTACAGATCTTGAAAAGGGAATTTGTTAAACCTTTTTTTCAGACCATTTTCTAAGGGTTTTATTGATCTTTCAGGCTTCTTCAATTTCAGAAGAGAACAGAGAAGGGTCAACAATGATATGT